AACAGCCACACTTGTGTTCGGTGACCTTTTCAATACAAACTGTAAAAGAAAAGTTGACCATGATATTTTCCAGTTGTTAAACAGCTGAATGTTTACGAGCTTTGATTTATTTTTGTCTAAGTAAAGATTAAACCAATTTGCACTGGAGAAATCACAAAATCTTGGGGTTCTGGATTTCCATTCAGGGCTGCTTCACTGATGCAACAGTTAAACGTGTGACTAATTCTCATTATGTGTCTTTTTGCACAGTTTGCTTACTCATAACAAATTGCTAACATTGTTTAGTCCTGATAAATTGAGAGGAATTTTGATAAACATTAAAATATTTTAAAGAACAGGACAAAAGTCTTATATATATATATACATATTGCAAATGCCTTGCAGGGAGCTCAGACCAAGTAAAAAAAACAGCTTTTCTGCAGCTACTTTTTTTTCATAATAAAGCCTGTGAGACATAAGAAGCTTTATTATGTGAGGGAATTCCTTCCCCCGGTTCGTTTCGATGCTTATTGCGGTTTTTATTGTCTCGTGCTGTTCTCCTGTAACAAGTCACAGAACAGAACCCGTCCTCTGTCACGTCCCCGGGGGTGGGGGGTGCTGCGCTCCCACTCTTTAATAAATGACGAACGCGCTCCTCCGTCCTGACCCCCAGCGTTTTCTCTTTGTCCCTCACTCCATTTAAAGTACAATCAAACATACAAWGAACATCATGTTATACTCTAAAAATCTTCTTTATGAAGAGGCAACGTGGCAAACACGGACACATTATGATCCAAAACATGATGCTGGTCGCGCAGAACGAGACCGAATCATTATTTTTACCTTCTGAGATCAGGTTCCGACAGATGTTGGCAACATTTCCGACAGTTTGCACCCAGATGTTTCCCACCAGATTCTCACCTTCTTGTAGAACAGCCTTCCCAAGAGCCAAGAAGGAGAACCACAACACCGCCACCGCAAACTTCATAATGTTCCCTGCTCGCATCTTCAGCCCCAGATCCAGTTCTACGGTCCACGCTGCCCTGCAGGATGCGTCCCTCCAGCGGCCATGTGGGACCCCTGATCAGCCAGGACCACCGGATCTTGGTGACTCCGTATACAACCCGGTACCACCTTCTCAGTGCGCAGCGGTGCGGCTCGCGTCCGTCCTTCCTCCGGGCTTCCTGCCGCCTGCTGTGTTTCTCTGTAGCTTCTCTATACGTGTGAGTGAAGAACCGAACCGAGCCGCGGGACCGGGCAGAGGGCGGGACAGGAGAGTGGGGGACTGGCCCGTCACAGGACGCAGAGGAGATGGAGGTCAGATCTGGACCACATCCAGAGAAAACCTTAGAAAAAGATGTGAATCAGATACACTACAAAAACTGTCCATCTGACCAAGTTTTACAATCATATGTCCAGCCACCAACAAACAAACAAACAAAC